AAGTTCTGCTACGGTAATACTTCTCGACACTAAAATGGAAGTGGTTTTGTCCCCTCTCCACTTCCATTCATCATCTGAGTGAACGAAGTTTCCTCCATGCGACACGATGAATCTGAAATCATGACTCATACCTGAAATGTTAGGATTGCAAAAGTGAGAATTCTGCAGATTCATATGTCGACATTTCATAACATCAAATTGGCACACGAAAATACTTACATCCATGTACTACCAAAGATATAAAAGATGATCAGTTTTCAGGTGTCGAAATCGACAATTACATTTTCTATCCCGACAGTCAGTAAATGTCGAGTTCGACAGTTAAAATGTCTAACCCGACAGTTTCCAAGATACTGCTCGACAGTTCTACTCCATAACTTTCGAGAAAGATAAATTCCATGTGCTTCACTGTTTGACGAATTTATTGAAAACGGTAAAGGCCATAATAAATTCTGAACTACAATATCACTGTATCTTTTTAGAAATGAATAAGGTATCACTTAATGCTTCATTAAATGTTGAATTATATATGGAATACTTCACATTTTCTATATAATGTTGGTATAATTTTTCTTTCTAAAATATACCAAAAATTTACTACATCAATGAATAAGAGATTGAAAGGGTTCATTTAAATATGATCATATTGTATTGAACATTTAAAGTAGTCAACTATGACATGAGATGAACTTTTTTCTACTACCTCACCTTTCAAATTTGTCAATGGCTTTCCTTGTTTCCTTGTTGATGATGGAGTGGAGATGATGAAGAAGAAGAAGCTCTTTCAATTCGTATGTGCGTGTGTATTTTGTAAAGATTTCCCCCCTTTTTTAATCAAAAAAAATCTTATTATACAATATAATATCATATCTTCAATATTAAATTTAAAGCAAAAATAAATTAATCACATCATAACATTAATTGCATTCAAATCAAGCATTTATTGCTTCAAAAAGGTGTTAAATGGTAAAGTGGACATTTTGTAGGGAAAAATTGACATTCTTGGAAGAAATTGGTGAATGTCCAAAATTTTTTTGCATTTTCAATTTTAGTGACATTTGTGTAAATTCCCCTTCATTAAATATATTCAAAATCACAAAATATCAAAAGTTATACCACATTTAATTTGTCGAAGGTAGTATGACACCTTTAGTCTATTGTTTTGATTTT